ATGATAAATAATTTACGTTATAAAAACTCATGTGCCAATGAAGATACTTAAAAATATATGTTTGAGATGAGTAAAAAGTTTGTTAAACTCTAACTTAATGTGTTGTAAACCATTGTGGGGAATTATTCTCTATCTCCTAGCTCGTGGTATTATCTTTAATTGAATTTAACAAATCTATGAATAAGCTGTTAGAACATTGAGAAATTTATAAATTTTCTCATCATAATATTTTCACCTAAAAAGGTCAACAACTATTAATAGAAAATGTCTTAGTCATAAAGGGTTGAATTTTGTTACAAATAAGAAGAACATGATGGGTCGCTGCTTGAAGTTCCCGATCACTAAGATAACGTGATGTGCATTTTTTTGATGCTTCACCAAATTGTTGGAAAATAGAAAGTGTCGAGAGAGACATCACACCCAATGACTCTTTTGTGGATTCTTCTTACCCAAAATAGTAGGAGCAGAAAGTAATGGTCTCCCACAGTAAATATGCCTCAAATATAGATCCCTCTGGTCGTGTTTTATAATTCATAAATCGCTTCAGTTCATTCAATAAATTGTAAATAAATTATTATTTAGTACAAATTGACAATATTATTTATGAAGTAGTAACTACATAGTGTGCATGCGTTACTACATATCTATCAAATGGATACATCCGACGATATTGTACTGGACCTCCAATTAATGCCTCGTGTGGCGGATGTACTGGCTGATGCTTCATGTAGTTGAAGAAACTATGTGAGAATAGACTTTCAAGCTTGCATAATATTATCGTATGTCATCACATTTCAAACGAGTTGCACATATTTTCTTGAAGAACATACTTATTTTGAATTAATGGATATAAAGTTTCGCTTGGCAAGCAGCTAAATATGGTGGGCATCAAATTCTTATGATAATCATGAATTTTCATTCTAAATATCATTTTCACATACAAATCAATACAATGGCTCAAATTTGAAGCATATCTGCTCGGGATTAACGATAGAAGCAACTCATAAATTTATCTACATTGCACCAAAGTAAGAGAATATTTTATTTAAGCTTCAAAAAATTGCCAACAAAAATTTCTTGAACCTCCAACTCTGGTCTTTTGCAAATCTTCTTCAAATCTAGAATGATATTCATGTTATCGTTAGTTTTTCCCTTAACATCTATCACAGTGTTGAAGATAGCTCGGGACAAACAATAACTTTGGAATGTCATTAATAATCTGAAATAAATCTTCCCTAAATACTATTGGAGGTGACATTGATTTTTCAATTTTGCTTTTTCTGAATACATTCATGTTCCTCCTGAAGGGATGTTCAACATTTAAAACCAAAAGATGGCTGTCAAACCATGAATTCTTCCTGTCATGCTAAAATGTAAATACCTTAGATGAATTTATACAATATAAACATGCTTGCTTTCTCACAGTACTCCACCTAAATACCATTCCATATGCTGAAAAATCACTTATTATCCATATTAGTACAGCTTTTACCGAAAAAATTATGTTTCATGGTAACATTATATGTCGTGACACCTCTTTCCTAAGGAATTTGGAGCTTATCTATCAATGACAACAAATATACATCAATTTGACCTTTAGGACTATTGGGACCTGATAAATCAAGGTCAGGAATAAGAAGGGTGTTTTCATGCACACCTCAGGGGAAGATTGTATGGTGTAACAATCACTAGCCAGCAAGAGTAGAATGTCACAGTTTACCGACCTTTTTCTTTTTGTAAATCGACAATTAGATGAATTTGATGGCACTACTAGAAGATTTAAATTCCAGCAATGGCGCCAAAAACTTGACCGCGACTTTATATAAATGTGTTTGATTTAATAAAGATGTATAGATATAATATTCAATAATGTCAAAGTCGAATTTGTCAACGCAAGTATACGTATCGCTCAAGTAATATATGGTTTTAATGGATATACGTATCGCTCAAGTAATATATGGTTCTAATGGATTCAAGTATCAATCCCACAGGGAGAAGGTTAAAATTTTACTTAATTAAAAGGACCTAACTAGATAGTATAAGAACTGTAGTAGTTAAAGTTAAATGTGAAATGCAAGTCTAACGAAACTAATTCTACTATGCTAATTTTGCAAACATAAAAGTTAAATCTACTATAGGCAGGTAAAGTAATTTTAATGAAGGTTTCAGATTTAAGAAAAAAGCTATCTTTCTCATTTACAATAATGTTGCAGCTAGTGAAGAATAAAATCTATTATTAATTGCATGTGACAAATATGAGAAATAAAGGACATTAGCTAATTCAGATGTTTTGAATCCACATCTCTGGTTAGGTTGAAAGGATACTGACTCCCTCTCCATAGCTCCCACTTCTCCTCCACCTGAGGGCTAACAATCTCATCATACGGTTTCTAAACATTTGAACACCAAAATCATCAATTATACACCCATCAAAAAATATTTTCATATTTATTTGCACTCAATCCCATGGAGACTTCACTCTTTCATGATATTAAAGTGTGATCCCTACTTAAATTATAAAAACATGGCCATCCCGACTCTTATGTTTTGACATAGATTTTAATAAATCAATTGTTCAGATTGAAATGTAAATGAAGTTCAAGATGAATCATCACAATTTAAGAAATTAAGATCATTTTCAAACAATTATTTCATTGGAAAAACACAACAAAACTCGGAATTCATATATAAAATCAAAGTCATACAAACTACAACAAGTAAATAACTTATCTCTAACTTTCTCCCCAAGAATACTCCTTGAAGTTCATCTGAATCTCTTCCTTTCTTTACAGCACACAGAACTCCTCTTCGAAGTAGCAAGGAGGAAGAAATCTCTCACTTTCCCTCCACTCTTAAAATTTTTCGAAGAATTCCTCATAATTACACGCTCTAGCAAGCTCTCTACACACTAATGGAACCTATCTAACATCCAAGACTCTTCTATTTTCGGTCAAAACCTTCTCTTTAAAGATGTGGATGAGTTTTCCCAAGAGTTGCTTATGCACCCCTCCAAAATCCGGCATTATCCATTGTACAAGTACACATAACCGTTAATCCCGCCGTCGGCGGCCTTCTGGAGATTTTGTCCTGTAGCCTCAGGAAAATCTCGTCGTCGGGGCCCTAGTGCAATTCTCCACATTTTGGTTCTTTTTGCTCCAAATTCGCTCATTTTTGCATCTTTTTGCTCTATTGACCTTAATTCATCATTCCTGCAACAAAACATCAAAAATACTTTTCTTTAAAGTGCAATATCATTAAAAACAGTATAAAAGATGTATGAAAATCTCAACATATTTTACTTTGGTCAACAGTCTGATTGTTTTGTGAGAAACCATTAGAGCATAAACCAAGTCTCACATTACGTACTTTAGCAATAAACTCAAGATGTATAAATCAACATTTTTTCATGCCTCTCCATCTGCAAGATGACTCATTAAGTTGATATCGCTTGACCTCGTACGATGCCACACATATGTGAAGCTATACACATAGAAGCAAAAGAATCTCTCAAGACATGAAAGAAGTGGTAGATAGAAGAAACACTTATGTGGAACTTCTTTCCATCTCTTATTTTTTTATTATGAGGTTTAAATCTTAGAGAGTTACAAAATCTACACTGAGTCTCCACTGCGCTGAACTTAGAAAATAACATACATCTGTTCACGCAACAATCAATCTTCCTTGTTTTCAAACTAATTTGGAGACCAACATTTTTGTATGGTGTAAATCTTATAAAACTAAATTCTCCTTTGGATTAGTCTCGTCCAGTAATGTTGCAAATTGATTGAAGCACTCTCGGGGCATGTTAAATTCAATTTTAATTTTTCAACATTCTTAAAGCTACATAACTCAAAATGGGAAGTTTATTTCTCTCACAGTGGCCTTTGAGACCAATTCAATAAATCATAAAACGCTCGAGCCTCGTGATCTGGTGCCTCTTCCTACACTTGACTTTGATAATGTTGTCTTGCCTTATCAAATATCATTGCTTCAAATATACTTGAGTGAAATCCATGTAGATGATCATTGCTCGTTGAGGAGCATAACTGAATGTTGTAGGGTCAACCATTACTCGTTGATCTACTTAGTATACACACCTTGATAATTCCAGATCCAATAATTAGGTTGAAACCCGACGATATAAATCATATTTGACTTTGTGAATCATTAAGTTTGATATATTCCCGTGTTTTGAATATGGACACTGAAACCTACTTTCATATAGGTAAGTCGGAAGTTGCGATGCTGCTACCACGAAAGCCTCGACATCGTTCAAGAACTCTTTGATGATCCTTTTCTATATGAATAGTCTATTTTACATCCACAATCTTGATGTATGAATATTCACTCATATCTTCAAACCTCACATTAATTAACACATTATAAAGAGTATTCAAGTGAATATAAAGAATTTAAATTTAGTAGCGGATCTAATAGAGCTGTTGTAACAATAGTTGATCAAATCATTAAAAGGAATGAATGTAGACAACTTAAACAATAACAATCACTCAAAAATTGATTGATTTGAATTTTAACTCAAATATGGATCATATTGAAATAAACGAGTCAAACTACGAGCAAAAAATTTGGATCAAATTTCTTTTAGCCAACCTCAGTTTGACTCGAAATTGGAACGTTAATAGCCTACTACTGTAAGAGCTGTCAAAGATCGATAATCGATCTAACATTGATTCGAATTTTGGCTTTAATTTTGTTTCAAGAGTATATTTCTTTCAGATTTTCTCTCTAATGGTAAAACTGTTTATCTACCCAAGTATTTTTGTCTCAACATATCTTACTAGACTACTTGCGTACTTCTAAACATAATCTGAGAACGAAATACTTCAAATGATTATATGAGTAAATTTTTTATTAATGAATATTACTTTAGCTTCTATTTAATGTATTTTATTCAATTATTATCCAATATAGTAATAATTTCAAATTTTTAGCATTATAAAAACAAACTTATAAATTCACGATTACTAACATATACCCTCTCGTTTTTCTCAAACCCTTGACGGCAGAGAAGCAAGCAAGAAGTCTCGACGGAAATTCGCCGGGAAACACATCGACGGGGACGGCGGCGTGCGAAGGAGAGGAGGAGCTCGCGAGACATTTGGACCTATTAAGTCCAAGATTAAAGGTAAAACGAGAGAGGAACAGGATTTAGGATTCAGTAGAATTGTCGTTTGGCTGGATTTAAGTTACAATTATGGCAACAACAACTGCGGTTTGGTAAAAGCGGGCTGGATAGTTTGTAAACCCAAGTCAATCAACCTGACCGATTTGTAGCTAAGGCCAAGTATATCTGCAGGTGGACGCATCTGCTAAAACCCTAGCAGACCCTCTGAGAGCGAAGCAAAAGACAAGATGGGTAGCCATAGCGAGAAGGAGAAGGTCATAAAGGAAGAAAAGACACCGATTGCTCTCGCGCCGATAGCCAAACCCCTCGCAGGCAAAAAACTGTGCAAGCGAACTCACAAGCTCGTTCGTAGAGGTATTTTACCTTTTGTTCTATCCTTATCTTCTAAAATGTTTATCTTTTTCATTCGATTGCAATGACGCAAAGAACGTTTTATTTAATGAGATTGTGACGGAGAAAGTTCTGTGTAGGGGCGTCGATTTTCAAGTAGAATGATCCTTCTTTTTGTGTTGTTTTGCTTGGCTTGGGTCTTTGGTTTTGTTCTCTAATGGTCCTTCATACATTTTTTAGATCTTTTACTAAATAGATTCACTGAATCTGAAACTTTTAATCCTCAGCTACTGAAGCCAAATGCGTGAGGATCATACATTTTTTAGATCTTTTACTAAATAGATTCACTGAATCTGAAACTTTTAATCCTCAGCTACTGAAGCCAAATGCGTGAGGAGGGGAGTGAAGGAAGTGGTTAAAAGCATTCGCCGTGGTCATAAAGGGTTGGTATTTCTTTTCCTCTGATTTATTTGGTAAATCTTTGCTGCACTTTCTTTGTTGAGAACTTTGACAATCCACGAGTTAATGATGTTGGTGCGAACAGAATCCATTTTTGATTTTTGAATCATGAAGAGAAGAGTTTTCAAAATGGCAACTTTAATAAATAGGCCTATTCTATGTTGCTTTTTAAGACTATTTTTAATGCTGTTTTTTACTTTTCTCAATTGTCCATACATTCATCATTTCCTTGTGAGATTTGTACTTTTTTTTAAACCCGGAATTCATCATAATCGGATTCATGGGTCTAATAGGACCGCTTTGCTTATGATTCTTTGTTTACAAACGGAACTTGTCGATGTAGTGTGAGTTTAATAAGGTTGGCACAACTTATGGCTGGGGAAAAATAGTGGGCATAATTATGGTTTGATATATGAGGATCCTCATGTCATACATTTTATGGTTTCTCTTGAGTTTTTTAAAATGGTTTAGAAACTTCTTGACGATTCTTAGAAATTTAGAATTTTCCTAAAAGTTTCTAGAAACCACAAAGATTATTTTTGATGAAATCAATTAAGTCTGAGCCTCAAAAGCAATAAGAAGTCTACCCAAAGGTTTTGAAAATTGATTTTCTAAAGATGAGGCATCCATTTCGGAGCATTGCATCTAATAATGACCATTCAGTCCGCATGATGGTCTGACCACCTGAAGTAAGAATTTGAGAAAATTTTGAATGCTTTGCTTCTTTTTAAGAATACTTAAATTTTTATATCTATCGTTGGCTTTTAAGCATTAAATTAGCCTTTTATTGCCTTATTTTTTTCCAAGCTTGTCTGAAATTTGATTATTGTTTTTCTCTTGAATCTTTCTGTAAGGCAATCAAATGTTATCATTTGAAGATTAATGACTTTTACTTGATTACTTGATCTCCTCTGTATTTATTGATCAACCACCTATCTTGGCGCTGAAGCCAAGACCTCTCTTTGTCTTTCTTTTCTCGACTAGCTTTTGCTGTTCAGGCTCTACCTGTCTAAAAATCCAAGGCTTTTAAGCTTTAACTGTTCAGCTTAAGCCTCTAAAGAGTGAAACCTAAGCATTTATGTTATTTTTTCTCTTGATTAAGTCCATGCAATGAATCTTCTAGTTCTATCAACCTTGAACCAGAAGAGAAGCTTCATGTGACTTATTGCTACAGGTGGGAAGGGAGTTTGGAGATGGTATCTAAGAGGCTATTTTTCTTCTCCTGTTATTATGATAATATTTATATTACATAGTAAATTTGACATCATTCTTTTGTGCTTTCTCAATCCTTTTTGTATAGTAATCTACTCACTCATGCTGGATCTGTATTTAAATAGTAGATCCACTTGGTAGGATATTATAAATGCTCAGGATGCCTTATGTGATTACATATTATTTTTTAGATAGTTTTAGGTTGAGGACGTATCTTTCAATCTTGTAGTATAATTGACATAATATTTCACATAAAGTACTTAAAAACTCTCCAATCGACTTGTAAAGTTTTTCTTACCAATACTATTTGATAGTTTTGCATCAAACATTTTATTATAGTATAATTCTTGGTCTAAAAAACAAAGCAACATAGAATAGTAAAAACCCAAATATTTCCTGACATCTAAGAAGTCATAAGGTTAGAGAAGCCACTAACATGCAAGAAGATATGAACGCAATAAATGAAATCATAGGTTTCTAAAATTTAAAATGTATTAGCAAACATGTTGGAACAAATGATCCACATGATATCATTCATATCCCATAAATAGAGTATCCCTCTATGAGTTATGGTATGGGACCTCAAATATCTAAAGATATTGATGAAGAATGGAAATACTATATTGCAAATGATGATTTATTATATATTACATAGTAAATTTAATATCTTTCTTTGCGCTTAATCTTTATTATATAAAGTATTACATAGTAAATTTAATATCTTTCTTTGCGCTTTGTCAATCTTTATTATATAAAAATCTAGTCTCTCCTCCCTCATATAAACAGTAGATCTGCTTGGTAGGATACTATAAACCCTCGTGATGCTTTCTGTGATTTAATTTATTGTTTGGGGTAACTTTAGGTTGAGGATAGATTCTTCAAACTTGTAATATAATTAGTAACACAATACTAAACATCAAACACCCAAAGTCTCTTCAATCCATTTGGGAGTTTTTTTAATACCAATCCTATCTTGATAGTCTCGGATCAAGCGTGATTTAAAAGGACAATTCTATGTCTAAAAACCGAGGGCAATATAAAATAGTTGATGCTCAAATATCCCTTAATATCTAAGGAGTCTTAGGGCTAGAGAAATCAGTAAAAAGTCAAGAAGATATCCACCCATTAAAGGAGAATGTTGTTAGATTTCTATAATTGAAAATGCATTAGCAAACATGTTGGAACAAAAGAGCAGCATAAAGGCATTAGTATCCTATAAATAAAGATACGGTCCCTCTATAAGTTATGTAAATGGAGCCTCAAATATCTAAGAATGTTGATGAAGAATGGAAATAATATCCTACAAATGAGGGAAACTTACCATTTGTTTGACAGCCACCTCACAATAGGTATCACTTTTATTTTTTGTTTTAAAATATTGTTTTTATTTTGTTTTGTTTGAATTTTTTTCTTTTGCTCTCGCATGATGTGAAAATATGTTTGATATTTTATGCTTTTATTATTCTCAAAATAAAAACCTAAAAATCAAAATACAATACATCAAATGCTTCCAACAAAGGCATCTCTCAACACATCAACTACTCCTTGCTGATCTTACACGAAGAGCTTACACTTTGAACACTTTCTGTATCTTGCCAACCACCTAGTTTTCAGCCTTTATTCTAAGCATCCGTGACCAAATCACTGCCAGATTGATCTCCGTAGGTTTTTTGTTTATCAATCCCAGCCATTATTCCTCCTCTTTTTATTTATTTTTAATAAATCATACTTTTTTAAATAAAATACAAAGTTAAATAAACAAGCATGTTATGTCATTTTTTCAACTTTTTTCTTTTTTTCTAGAAACAAAAACAAAATATAAACAAAAGTAAAACATAATAAGAAACATGTTCTAGGTGGATATTGTTTGCTCATTTTACCTTTTTTATGATACTCAAGGGCCACATTGTCATATATTGTATGTCTTGGTGATGCAGGTTGTGCGTGATTGCTGGAAATATTTCACCCATTGATGTAATCACACACGTCCCCATACTATGTGAGGAAGCTGACATTCCATATATATATGTTCCGTCAAGGGAGGTCAGTCAGAACTCATGTAATATTTGTGAGGTGTTTGATCGATAGTCATTTGATAAGTGATTTAAAATAAAAATAAGGGGTATTTACATACATACCACATTGTTCTTATGTATTTACATATCTAACACCTAAACTTTCATATCTATATGTATATAACACAAATCTTTAATACTGCATGAATAATACCAGTAATACTAATTTTTAAAAGTGAAATACACCATTTCCATCTCATGCATAAGTATATGACACCAGTATTATAGATGTAAATATCCAAATTTAGCTTTTAGATTTGTAAACACATGAATTGTGTTATATATATATATATATATATGTAAATTTTCCTATAAATAAAGTTGATAACTTAGGTGTTCATGAAAGTTCCCATATTTAATTGTTTTTAACCTTTGATTGCCATAAAACGTTCTCATCCGCCTGTACTGATGCTGTTTATTTATTTAATTTTTTTGCTTAGCAAATAATTCATACTGGTATAACACCTTCGTTGTTGAATTTATCTCCATAGGATCTTGCCACAGCTGCAGCAACGAAGAGGCCAACATGCTGCATTCTTGTGATGACAAAACCAATCAAGGGGGAGTTGGACCAGGAGGTGCAGGAGAAGCTTAGAACTGAATATGAACAGGTTGCGTCTGAAGTGAAGGATTTAACATCAAATCTCTACTAATTTGGGAGGGAACGAAGTGAGTTGATACTATTTCTCTACTAGTAATTAGGATCATAATTGATGGAAGGGAAACTTGTAGTGTTTGTTTGTAATTTTTTATAGATGTTATTTTTGCATGCTGAGATTCAGCTGAAATTTGGAGGATCATGAACAATGTTCTTGTTTAAAAATATTCTTCTGGATGCAACCTTTTTTTTTCAGTTATGCTGTACTATGCCCACTAGGATTTGCAATTTCCCTGTAGGTTATCTGTAGCCTAAATTTCTATCCTTATTTGCAAGCCCTTTGTCTCTGAATAAGAAACACAATTCTCTAATGCTAGTAGACATTTCAATATATAAATCTGATTCAATCAACAGAATAATATAAATATCAATATATCTCTATATTCTTATACAAACCCCCCCCATACCTGTTATTGTCACATTAAGTTGAAATACAATTCATCAGATGAACAACTCAATGCCCCCCATTGTCTTCCTCTTAGGGCTCATGTGTTGACATACCTGCAATTCGTTCTTACTTCTCCTCCTTCCGGATTGGTAATGTTTCCCATCTTTACCATAGCATCAGAGAAGTGTTTGAAGAAGATCAGAGGATCCATAGAGTAAGTCTTTACGAGGTCGGCGGTCTCGAATCCGACGAGGCTCGAGTACATCTCCTGGTCTGAATTCAGCAGCCCCTCGCCTTTTAGCAAAGATTCGAAGAACACATTGTCGAACACGTTTGGACTTACATAGTCCATTGGGGAGATCTTGCTGTCATGTCCACTCTCAGGGCAGATTGATTGCAGCTTATTGAGGTAGGCAAGGGAGCCCAGGTTTGGTTGTGATGTGGCTGCAAAGTCTCCATAGATCCTATCTCTAAAATTCAAACACCTTGCCATGCCTATTGTGTGCGAACCTGCAAGATTTCATCCATCTTTAGTAAGTTGTAGTTCTGATCAAAGTTTAAATAGATGAAATTGGGGACATAGGTTAGTCTTGAGACAAATATAGCCATATGCCTCTAAATGAGGAAAAAAATCATAAAATTAAAATTAATTCATAAAAATGATATGAAGTATTAATATGTTGTTTTAGTTTATTGTCATAAAGACATACATTACAAATCTTAATCTTTGATATTGATATAAAAGAAAAGTTTGCAATGTGATTTAAGGTGAACATTCACATAAGATTTAAATGTTCCATGAGCTTCAAGATCCACGGTGAAGTCATGCTTGCTTTCATCATCTTCAAAATAATCATCATTTTTATTACCATCTATTAATTCGATCATATTTGCAACTTTAAAATGTTCTTCATTATCCACTCTTTCTTATCATACTAACAATTAATTTGAAATTCAATGTAATTTTAAACAAAAGAATAAGTTAATAACATAATTAAATAATCAAAATTAAATTATCTTTTGAAAATTTTAAGTCATTATATCCCATATATTAAATATAATATATATTAATAATATAAGATAGTATGCATTTTTGCATAACTTTATTGAGGCACTGCCTCAAACGCACGTCTCAGACGAAAATAATATAAGTCTAATTGGTGATACGATACTTAAGCCTTGAGGCTTTTTTTTAAAGAACCTCAATTTGAGGCGCTCCTCAAGGTGATGTTTCTGATTAATGAGCTTTTAAGCAAGTAAAAGAGATGGACCAGACCTACAAGAGCCACCATGTCCTGTGGTGATAGACCTTTGCTAATGAACTTGGATATGAGGGCGACAAGGTTCTGATTTGGGTTGGGGATATCGATATTTGCAAGCTCCAAGCTTGCAGTTTTTGAGTCGAGCCGCCCGACTGGCACGTCCCAATAAGGTCCACCAACCTGTGCAGAGCACAATTTACATGCTATTTTAGTGTTTAGTTATGTATTGAGCTTTTCTGACGTCCTATATTTTGAATGAAAGAATTTTACTTGCAGAGTTTGCATGCATTTATACTCTTTGTACAATAATATTGTACACCTTTATATACAATATAGTTTTGAAAGAAGTCTGCATGCATGCGAATTCCGTACATAATATTTTATCATTTTAAATATGTTTTGTTACCAAAAGGACTGCATCTCGTGCTGCTATAGCAAGGAGATCGGCACATGAAACAACTCCTGGGCATTCTCCTTCGAGCTGGGTCTTGATGCGATCTACGAGATGGAAACCGATGAGAGAGTTGACGTTTTGAGATGCTGTTTTCTCTCCTGTCAGCGTGGCTGTGTCTTCCAGGAGTACAGATCCATCACAACCCTGAATTAATCAGAACAGTTTACATTAAGCATCTTTAAAAGGAAGATTTACACACACACACACACACAAACACACACACATACGCACATGCATGCATATTTCTAGCTATAAGCCTAGCTTATTTATATTTGGCTTGTTAAACTAATATGTTAATAAAAATATGTCTATAACTCGAGCTAATTATGCACTAATCACAAACAACCAATTTGTTTTTTATTGCCCTACTTGCTACCTAGCTCTCACTTAAAGTAAAGAGTAAAAATATAATTTTGCTTGCATTGCCAAAACAAAGCAAAAATATTACGTGTGGATATGATATGTTAGATGTGGATTAAGTGTAGATTGGCATGATTGACGTCAGGTCGTCAACACCATTCCAATTCTACCAATCCACATGCATATAACACACGTAATATTCGCTCCAAAATAAGACCAACTGACCTGAACAAAACAGTCATGAAAATGAAGCCGAAGGATTGCGGCTGCATTGCGCGGATTTTCACGCACGGCACAATCCATTTCCTTGCGCACAATCGGCTGCGCATTTGGGCACGATTTATCGTAGTAATCTAAAGTCAGCTTCGATTTGTCTTGCGCCATTACTGACCTCCCCAGAACTCCCAGCACACAAATCATCACAGCCAACTCAAGAAATAATGACTTTGACAAACTTACACCTTCCATTTCTCTCCTCTATTTTTTTGTTTTCTGGCAGTTCTGATCCGGCTACTAGCGAGTGGGAGGAGAAGGTTGGAACTTACTCAACTTATATATTTGTTAAGGATGGAAACGGTCATGGTGGAGTTATTAGCTCGTGCTGCAAATTTATGGTAAAGTGATAGTTTAGTTGATAGTTTAGTCAAGGTGGAGATCAACTAAAGTTGGTGGGTTTGGTGTGGAGTAGCAAAGCTAATTGCCATCTGAGTAACTCTCTAGAATTAGCTTTCTAAACTACTTTATTTTTATATTCTCGTGCTTTAGGGCGGCAGCTTATTTGGTACGGTTGCGTTTTGAAAATGCAACAGGTCTATTTGGGTAAACTGCGTTTTCAAAATGGTGAAAACAACGTTTTAACACCAAACCTATCTAGGTGCGGTGGCAGCTTTCTGTCTGCGGTCTTGCTTTTCTAAAAAAATAAAAAAATTATAATAG